TTTTCACTCTTGTCAATGCCTTTTCTTGTCCTTCATCTTGTTTTAAGAGTCTCAAGTCTTTTATTCTTTAGCAAAAGTCATCTTAATTGTGATACTATATTATCTTTATATAAATATTTATTCTATTTTTGTGATACAAAAGTTTATTAAGGATTTTATTATTTGCAATTCAAGACCTTGACAAGTCACATCTACCTAACTTTCTTTAATAAATACTCTATTAATGTTGGTTATCTAAAATATATACCTTATAATTTATGTAAGATTGTATCAATTCATAATGCCAAAGGTGATACAAATATAAGTTTCATACAACACTTTTTTGGATTTGCTAAAGAAAAAAAAGACTATTTATATAAATAAATGAAAAATTGCAACTCACATTCTTAACAAAATTAATATGTTCAATCTAGTATGTCTATTAGTTAAAAATATATACAATAAAATTAACATCTAAAAAAAATCTAATAATTTATCAATAATTGTACACTTTTTTTTACTACATATATATGGATTAATAAGATAAATCTTCACATCATTAAGAGTTTTTTTTGCTGAAAATATAGAACTTTGTTTTATACACTTGGTTTCTAATAATCTTAAGCTAAGTTGCACGATATATATGATTATGTTTTTAAATTTTATTTTTATTAATTTGTTACTACTTCATTGCCAAAAATTAAAGATCATAAATTTTATAATAATGGTACAAAATATATTACATAGTTCATGCAACAAAATTTGAATTATTATGATTTTTTATTCCAATGTGCAATCACTACTAACATTATAATTAGGATCTATTTATTTTAATTTTAAAATCCTTTATCTTAATTTTTAGTTCAAAAATTTTAAATATAGAAATTACATTCAACCCAAAATAAAGATAGTGTTTAATAAGATTGCATTTATATAACAATTGATATAATATCAAAGAAAAATGATTATTGATTTAGAGATCTATTTGCTAAAGTTTATATATTTGAATATTATTATTTTATTTTAGTAATAATATATATATATATATATATATATATATATATAAAACATCATTCTATTATCTGTTGTTGTTTATCTTATGGATATATTACAAATATTTTTTATTGTAAAAGTTTTTTAACTCAAAAATTTATATTTAATAGATCAATTATACTTCAATCAAATGTTTTAAGATGTTACTTCTAAAATAAAGCAAATGATCCTAATAGTGGTAAAAATAATTAAATAAAATTTATAGTTAATATTTAGAGTCAAACTTCATTGTAAAATTAACAAAAGAATAAGTGAAGATAGATAAATTGTATAGATGTTTTTAATATGTAAACATATAAATAGAGGGTATTAGATTATAAAAGATATATAAAAAAAATTGAATTTAAAAATAAAAATAAAATCACATACACCATTTATAGCATAATAAAAAAATGAGACATATTTTATTTTAAATTAATTTGTTTATTATTATATACTCTAACAGAAAATTCTAATATTTATAAGATATTTTTTGTAGAAATTTTAATCTTAGAAGAGAAATAATCAAAGATATGAATATAATAGAACTTATAAATAAAATAAAAATTATTTTATATTATTTTAATTTTATAAATTAAGAAAATATATCTTTAAAATAAAAAAATATAAAATATTTAATTGACTTAATATTTCTTGATTAACTTGATTTAAGTACGTGAATTCATTTCGGTTTTTAAAATAAATTTTAAAACTTTACATTAGCTTCATAATATTTTTAGAAATTTAATTTTTAATAAATAAAATAATTTATTCATTAAAAAAGTATCTTTATAATCTAAAACACCAAACATGTTTATATGCACTTTGATTCTAATCAATACTAGATTATTTCAACCACTATTTGTATTTCAACTACTATTTGTATTCTAATCTATTTTAAAAGTGCCTAACAATGGTTGTTTTTATACTTCTTCTTTTAATTCCTTTTAAAATAAACTTGATATTAGATATTAGCTAATTTATAACTATCAATTTATCATATAAAGTTTTTTCTTATTTCATCATAATTTATAAAATTCAAGTTCTATCCTAAATTGATATATTTAAATCTATATTTTTACTTGTATTTACTTTTGCATTTTAAAAGTCATTTCTTATATTACAAGAGAGATTTTTTTGTTCTTAATTCTAATCAAGAATTTCAAGTTTGATAGTAAAATTTGCATACACATGATATGATAAGTTGGATCAAATTATAATGTTTAGATAATTACTATTAAAAATCTTTAAATATAATATATTGCTAGTATTCAAAGTTCTATTATAACTAAAGTAAAAAATTATTAAGTACTGGCTTAGATTGTATAGTTGGTAGAATTATTGAGCTTTAGAAGTCAAAAAAGTAAAAATGTATATCATATTATAGTAAGTGGAGATGCAAAAAAAGAATTGTACATAAGAATATTTCAATATGTGGTTTATTCCTAAAAATACTAATATTAAATAATCTCTAAATATACAAATAAAGAAGTACTAAATAGACCAATTTTGATTTTAGTATTCTTAACAATATCTATTGGATATTTTTATGGCTATTTTTCAATAGTATATGCATTGTATTTATTTTTTATTTTTTTGGAAAGATAAAAATCTATCTTTATATACTTCAAAAATAAAAAGAACTTAGAAAAAACAAATCAATATTAATAATATAATTTACTTTAGAAGAATAATAATCAAATCAATTTCTCTTAATTGATACATAATTTAGTGTTTGAAAAGTTTTTTATTTGTATTTATAATTTCTATTAAATATTATGTGATTACTTATATAGATAATTGAAACTGTGTTATTGATTAACAACTTATAGCTGCCATCATAGTCGATAGTAAATATATTGTTATTGCCACCTATTAAGCCATCATATGGCCTAACAAGACAAGTATCTACATATCAATTGGACCTTGGTGGCTAAGCTAGTTGTTAGTGTGTTCAAACTAGAATGTCTATATTAATAGACTATGGACTTATGCTATAAGAACTAAAACTTGAGGCTCATTTCAAGTGGTTAGTTTTCTTGAATCATTGATTGTTGGATAGTAAGCTCATATGTATTTCACATCATTATACTTCTATCCTAAAGCAATAAATATCTCATATTTTTTAGCAATTAGATGCCTTTTAATTCTCAATTCTTATATAATCTTTTTATTATCTTTTATATGTGAAAATATATTTGAAAATCATAGATTGATTCTAATTTATTATGCTAATAGTTTAAAAACATTAATTGTCTTATTTTTAGTTATTAATCACTTAATTAATTTTTATGCTCTTTGATTTGATTGAATTGATGTATCAAAGCATATCTTTATTCTTCAATATTTTTTTATTTTTTAAAAGTTTCTTTAAATACTTTTAGTATCTTATAATTCATATTATGAACATTATATTTTATTGTAGATAAAGACTTTATTGTATTTATTTACCATACTTTTTAAGATTATCACATTTATTTTCTATTTATTCTTCCTAATTACTAAAAAAATCAGTAATTTTGAATAAAATCTAAATATTTAAACTAAAATAATCTAAGATTGAAATTATTGATTTTTCTAAATTTCTTATATTCCTATATTAAGCTTTCAAAGTACTAGAAAAAATATAAATATAAATAAAAGACTTAGAATAGAAGTAATATTTTTTAACAAAGATAAGATGTCTATATTTTTGTTCATTTTCCAATCTATTGCTTGTACTTGTCAATTAATATTTTTCTCCATAATTATTATTTTTTCTTGTTAGTGGCCTATCATGCACTTCATGTCTACTTTACCTGTCTATACAATGTATAACATATTGTATAAAATTTATATGTTCTTATTTGTGAATTTTCAATTTCAATTCTTTTCAAACAAAAAAATAGATGTAATGCTTCTTCTACATTTTTATTTTTTATATTTTATATTTTTCATCTTTAGTACATGTTGTACTAAAATTATGAGATGTCAACCTTAGAGGGCAATATAGGTTGAGACATAATATGAAAGTTTATCTTTTCTATCCCCAATTAGTATTTTTTATGATTTATAGTAATTTTTTTAAAAGCTAAAGATAACAAGTATCTAAATTACTATTATAAGAAGATAAATATTATATATTTATCTAAAATAAAAATTTTAAATTCAAATTATACTTGAAATGAATTTACAAAATTTGAAAGTATTTAAGGGAGAGAGAGGGGAGGCTTTTTAGAGGCTTAATGATAAAATAAGGAACACAAAAAAAAAAATCTCTTATAAATAAAAGAAATAGCTTGTTTAAATCATGAATTATTTTTATTTTTATTTCAAAAATCATGGAAAATGCTATAACCTTAAATGGCAATGGGATTTAAATCCTAGACCTTCAAAGTCTAAGGCTTCTTATGCCCCTATGACTAGACCTTGTGGAATTTAACTTTAGATTAATTATAATATTTTTTTCATAAAACTTATAAGCTTTTCTTGTTCACTAATCCATGGCAATAAGCAAATAAGAGGCAATTGACTTGATAGATGAAATTCCAACAAACAAGGGGCAACTAACCTAACTCCATGGATAAAATTCTACAAAACAATTTTTATCCCATAACCCAATATGAAGGTCATTCCTTCTTACTAGATAGCTTTATTTTCCAATGAATTCCAAGTTGGCTCTCTTACTAGCTTCTCTATTTTCCAAACATCTTTCTCCCACCTATTCTCTCGCTCTAGCTCCCCAAATGTTCTACAACAAGCCACGTTTGGAATGAAATTCTCCCAAAGGAACACGTAAGGGCCGATGACCTCCGAGAAATTCATCCAAGTAGAATGGCACATTTACCGACCTCGAACTGATATCTGTATCCTCGTACCACTGTTGATACCGGGAACATGTGAACACGTCGACAACGTGCTAGAACCAGGTATCAATAATGAAGAGAAAGTTCGCGGCGCTTTCCTACCAACCTTCGTCGCTGCGGTCCTCTTCGCGTTGCAGGGAATTTTGAACTCGCTTGAGCAGAAAGGATTTTGTCAATCAAATCTCTGAAATCTGCGCAACAATTTCCCTGCTTCGTGATCGCCTTGCTGTACCGTACGCGCAATTCCGATTGAAATCGTTTCCACAGTTTCGAGTTGAGTCTTCTGCAAGTTCCGGAGTCGATATGCGTGAAGAGTGAGTTTCTGTAGAGTTCGAGCTTGCGCGGTTGTGTTTGGGTGCGCTGTTCGTGAATTTGGGGTCAATCTGAGCTTTGGGTTTGTGTCCAAGGGCATTCTGTTAGTTCGGGTGCATCGGAAACTACATAGTGCCGTTTTGGCTCAGTTAGGATCACTTTCGTGTTGTTGTCGTGGTTTAAGCACACTTTCTGCGAGAAAGCAAAGAACGGTCGCAGGGTTTTCATCCTGTAAGAATTGCTTCGATGTTTCTTCTTTTCGCCATTCGAGTGATTATAGTCTTGGTTTTATTTAGCTACACTAGTCTTTTGGAGGGGTAACCTGTCTTATCTTGTCTCGTTGAATTTGAGTGAGTTTTTGGGTAATTTTGTTCATAATGCTGTTCACTTGCGACCAGGCTGTGGATCGGGTTGATTTTTAGGGGTTTTAGTCTTTAATTGGAACAGAGTCGGTTTCTTTTCCACAAAAGTGAATTGAAAAGATTGTATCAATATTTGTAGGTTCGTGAAAATGAGTAGCATGGAGGAACAGGTTCTAGCAGAGCAAGAAGCTTTGCTCGCCGAATGCAAGTTGTATAAAGGGGAGAAAGAGCCAGAGACAAAAGAGGTAAAAACGGAGGATGAAGCTGCAGTTGTCGATGGTTTGCCTGTTGCTTCAACTGTTCTTGGTGCTCCAGTTTCTCGCTCTGATTGGTCAACAGGTCTTCTTTGTTGCTTTGGAAATGGTGGCGAGCACTTCACCAGCGATCTTCAAGTTTGTGAGTACCTGCGTTTCTGTTTTTCTTTGACGTGGTATTTTTATTTTTTATTTATTTTTTATTTTTACAGTCTACGAGCATAGATATGTAATTACAAAACAGAAAGATGACGCTTCTGGTGCTTTGTATATTCCATTTAGGCTGTGACTTGTTGTCTGCAGTGTCAGATTTTGCTTCTCTGCAATATCTTGTTTGACAATTTTTTTGTTGTAACTGACATGGAACCTCTAAATGCTTTTCTACTTCACAGATGGCTTGATACACCCTTTGGAAGCTTTGATGTATGGTCTTTTGAAGCGAAAGTAACGTCATGTTCACAATGTTGCAGCGCTATAATAGCTATAACCTGGTGAGGCATGGCATAGCAATTAGCAGCTCAGTTGCAGAGTGCACATTCATGTTGATGATGTATCGGTAATTGGCAGGTGTTCTCGGGACATTTGCACCTTGTGTGCTGTACGGTAGCAACATGGAGCGTCTGTATCCCGGTGAAGAGGGCGCCTTTTTGTACCACTGCATGATGTACACTTGCCTTTCCCTTGGTGGATCTCTTTTGGTGGACGTAAACCTTGCTCCATTTATGTCAGTCGGATCACGCATGGATCTTCGCCGGAAGTATAACTTGCCGGTAATATTTGGTTAACCTCTTTGGAGTCTATTTTTTTATGTAGTACTCGATCGGCTAGCTCCATTGATGAAATCAAGTGAAGTGGGAATTTAGTCCTAAACCTGGTGGTGTTGATTCTGCAGAGTGCTGGAGGTTGCTGTTTCGGTGGTACATGTGATCAAGAAAGCGGAGTTGGATGTGCCACAGTCTGTGATGTTTTGACCCATTTCTTGTGTCACAATTGTGCCTTATGTCAGGAGGGTCGGGAATTGCGTCGGCGTACCCTCTCGCCGTCTTACCAGCCATACATGCCCATGGCTCCCCCTGTAGTGCAGAGTATGACTCCTCAAATGTAAAGTAGGCAGCTAAGCGAAAGTTGAGACATGCCTGATTCTATTACTCACTGAACAATTACCCCGTATGGAATATTGTAACCTTAGCTTAAGCAAATAAATATCCATGTCGATAAACTTCAATTTAACTGCAATGTATAGCAAGTTCTTCAGAACTCCAAATGGCCTAGGGTTGGCGGTATCACTTATTGTCTATTACAGACTAGATTGAATGAAACTCAAATTATGGACCAGGAATTAAAGTTTCAACTGATATTCAATTTTGTCACATGTTTTGATAAGCATTAATGCTTCTACCATATTTTTAAATACAAATTGAAGAGACTATACTTTGAATTCTTTCATTTTTTAAAAGCTAAATACAAACAAAAGACTATAATTAAAAAATACCAATAGGAGAAAATAGGAGAATGTTAAAGTGATCTATCTTTTTATTATATTGATTCATCCTATTATAACCATTGTTAGAAAAATGGATCATCTCAAAAAACCATTATTATAATCATGGCCTTTATTTCCACTTCCTTTGTTTTCAACCCCCTCTTCCATTTCCAACTCTCATATCCACCTTTCTTGTTTCTAGTCCTTGCTTCCTTTGTTTTTAACTCTCATATCCACCCTTTCTTGTTCCCATCATATACTCTCTCTATTCTCAACTTTCATCTTAACTTTCTTTGTTCATAGTCCTTGCTCCCTTTATTCCCAGTTTTCATCTCAACTCCCTTTATTTTCAACCCTTGCTTCTTCTTTTCCCAACTTTCATCTCAATCTCTTCCATTCCTAGTCCTTATTCTTAGCAAAATTGTAAGATTTGATTGAGCAAGTTCTTCTCCTTATATTTAGGTCAGCTTTACCAAAGCTTAGTAGATTTATCAATTTTATTCCTCTTTGGTTGAGTTTCTATTTGTAATTTTTATGAATTGTTGGATTTGTATCATAACATGTATTTTGATGGCATAGATTGATTTCAAAATGACATTGTGTATAATTTGCTATTCAAAATTTGCATCAATATAAAGCAAATTTCATCCAACTCTTGGTTGCAATATAATACAATGGTAGTATAAGACTCTCTTTTTAGTTTTAGTTGCAAAATGAATGTAGGATTTATCAACTTGCATTACAAGGACTTGCTAAAGGAATTTTGTCTCAATTTGCTTGGTTATCTACCAATTCTTGGCTTGTGATGACAAGTTAATGCACTTCCATTTTACCATGATTGTAGCTTATAGTGGTGAAATCCTATAATTTATAAAGTTGTTTTGAAATACACAGAATCAAATCCTTGAAATAGAAATATTTAAATATAGAATAACAAGCTCTAAAGGCACTGCAATGTCCTTATTGCACATTCATTTGTCAATGAGCTTATAAAGTATCCTTCTACTGCTAGTAATGTATGACATTGTACCAAAATCATTCATTAATTAACAATTGGTGGTACTTTTAATCCAAGTTATAGCTTCTCTTGTATTGAATCTGGATTTAGTCATGGGTAGACATGAAATTGATTGTAATGTTTATTAATATAGTAGAGTTATAGTAACTAGGTCAATAAATTGATTGATTGGTTTATTTCTTTATATATTTTTATTGTGGAAGAGTTCAAGTTTTGAAGACTCAATGTTGGATATAGATATGTTGAAAGTCTGTGCATCAAATCTTTTTGCAAGTTGAGCTTGATTAGTTTGGGAGAATTCATATTTTGTTAGGAAATGATTTTATGAATCTCTTAAAGTTATGAATTTTGTAGCCTTCTATGATTTCTCAGAGATTGTGATTTCTTAAGAGAGATAAGATAGCTAGGTTTGCAATAGAGAGCATTGTGTGGAGAAGAAGAGATTCTTTTTGAAGGTTTTCAAGATGCTTTATATTATATCTTAGAAGTAAAATAATATGATGTAGCTAGTTTTGTGAACAACTCAACTTTACAACCTCCATATAATCATCCACTATTTTTTCAATGTTGCAATTTATCTATTTCAATATTTAAAACATAATGTTTTTGACAATACCTGCAGTACGTAGCAATGAGTTGTTTGGATCAATGCATTAGAGAATAATCCTTCTTCTGTACAATTTGTAGTTGGTTTTCTTGTAAATAAAGACCAAACATTGTCTTTCTACCTAAATTAAGTTTACATTGTTGATTTAAGTTATTAACAATAGTGCTTCTTCTTATTTATTAGATTCTTATATAGATTACAATAAATGATTCAAACTAGAATTTCTTCTTCATGCATCCGACTAATTTTTGCCATATTTATTCCATGAAATAGATGGTTTAATTTGTAAATGGAGTTGAAAATAGAAGGAGTTGGAATGAGAGCTAGAAATGGAAGGTATGAGGATTGAAAACAAAGGAGGTGGAAATGAGTGCCATGACTGTAATGATGGTTTTTATAGATGATATATTTTTTTTAATGATGGTTATAATAAGATGCATTAATTTAATAAAAAAATGAGTTATTTTCATATTTTTTTAAAAATATGTATATAATATTAAAATTAAAATATTTAATATAAATTTTTTATTTATTAAATTATTTATTTATTGATCAAATATATATTTATATATATATATATAATAATAATAATAATAATAAGATATATTTATTTACATAAAAGATAATTTTATGTTATATGATGGTGAAGGTTTTTTAAATAATATAATATTATATTAAAAAAGATAATAAATAAGAAGATAAGAACTTTTATTTGTCTCTAAAAGATAATATATTTATACTTTTTTTCCATTTAAAACATGTTATTGAGGATAAGAACTCAAAGAATGTAAATAAATAAGTTAGACATATATCAAAGAAAGATGACAAAAAATGAAAGAAGAAAATATGTATATCTAAGAAGAAATTGGAATGACTATTATAAAAGACTAAAAAGCTATAGACTCTTGAAATTAGATTAGAAGCAAGAAATGAATTGACAAGAATAAAGAAGGCTTCATTCTTATTTCTATATATTATCTAATTAAAAGCTATGTACCATTATTCTATAGGATCTCTAATATATGGCCAACTTGTATTACAAGTTGGTCAATATATACAACATGTGGCCAACTTGTTAGCCACATTTTTAATCTACCATTCACCTATAGACTTATGTACATTCAAATCCATGTCTATGAAGCTTCTAAAAAGCTTTTCTATAAGATATTATATAATATATATACTTTTATTTAAGTAATTATATATATTGATTATATCTATGACATTATTCTTGTTTTTAGAAACAAGTTCCACAAGGAGCAATGCTTGTATGTGTAAAGAAGTTTAAGATGCAATAAATTCTATTTGTTATACATTCTATTCTATAATCTTTGAAAGATAATTGATAGGTTTTTTCAGCCATTGATAATGTTGCCTACTAAGACAAAGAAGCTACCATGATATTTAATCATTGTTGATACTATTGTATGGCATGATTTTTTATTTGGAAATATACTAGGTACCTAGCTATAGAGAGTTTAGCTTTAATTTATTAGACAAGTTCTAATAAGTGATGTATTCTTTCTATAGAAGCTAAATAAATATAATAATATAATATATATATATATATATATATATATATATATTACTGATAAAATCCTTCTATATTTAAGAAGCTTTATACAAAAGGCTTTCTAAAGCATTTAGAAATTTCTTAACATCCTTTGCTATACTAAATCATAACTAAATTATTTGCTAATAAGCTTAATTTCTAATAAGCTCAAAGAAAATACATAATTTTCTTATAAAAATCTATCTCTATACTATAATTTTGTCATAGCTCCACATCTCCATCTTTAACATGTATATAAAGTCATAGCTTCCAAAATTCCCTCTACTTTGCATAAAATGCCCAAATTATAGCAAAAGCTTTTAAAAATATTTTTCTCCCATAAAGGATTTTTTTCTCCAAAATTTAGAAATTCATATCTCTTGATTCAACCATTCAATTTTTTTTTTTTTTTTTTTTTTTTTTTTTTTTTTAATTTTCTAAATAATGTAGATTTTATCCTTAAGCTTTATTAAAAATCCAATAAACTATAAATCTACTACAAATTATTTGGCATCTTAGAAATCCTAATAGGTCCTTCAAACCTTAATTTATAAGCACTTGAGTACTATTTTCTCTACTTCTCAAAAATCCATAATCTAAATTCGACAATTTTTTTGTATAAAACTTATTGACATAATAATACATATTCTTGGAAATGATTAGCCAAAATCTTGCCAATTTGCTCAAGATATAGCTCAAAATACAACCACTAGTAAATTAGGTCACTTATTGTCATTAGATTACAAGCACTAACTTCAAATTCCTATATCTCCTTCATTCTAGTTTAGAATTTATTAAAAAATATGTAAAAAGTTTATTTAAGAAAGTGCTCTCTCCAACCTTAATTTCCGATCCTTTATTTCTTTCTATATGTGTGTGTTATGTCCAAAAGAATGATAATAGATAAAAAAATCAACTCCTTAACTTTGAGCACCTATATCTCTCTCATAAAAACTTCAAATCACTCAAATTTTGTACCAAAACCATAGCCAAAAACCTAAACTTCTTTATTCTAGCCTTTTAAGTTCAAATGGCTTCGAAATAATATTCATAGTTCCTAATTCCTAATAAGGCCTGAAGCAGCCTCCTTGAAGTCCATTGGATATGAATTTTGGCCAATAAGAATGGAGATTTTCATCATCTATCTCCATTCATCCAAATGGATGCATTAACTACTCTTTTTGCTATCAAAATCCTTCTTCAACTTTTTTTTTATAAGATCTACATAATATATGCCCTAACCACTAAATAAAAGAAATAAAACCAGATTTCAAAAATCACCAATGTCTAGTAAAGGTAGCTCTATATATATAAAACTATTATCAATATAAAATCAACTTCAATAATAGATCTTTTAAACTAACTACTTCAAAGTAATAATCTAACCATATTTTGTGACTAACTAAAATCTAATAATGTAGTTCTTATCACATTATATTATAAATTATACATTAAATATCTATATGCATTATTTTCATATACTAGCTAAAGTACAATATGACAATGCCTTTATAACTTCTTTTAAACAAAATAATTAGAACACCATAAAAAATTATTTTTATCTTTAAAAATATTTCCAAACATCAAGAATCTTTTA